GAAAGGCGACTCCGAGATGATTTTGACCCTGCTGCAGGCTCAAAATCATCTCGGAGTCGCCTTTCTTTGCTAAAACCTCCCCAGTTAGCCAAGGATTTAAGTACACCCCAATGGGGACACTGGGCTGGAGACCCCCGACAAGGTTTAAGTGAAGGAGCCGGCAACCAGCGCCAGGCGTCGCGCCTTCAGTAGGAAACTGCCTCACTCATACGGAAGCTTATCATCACTTCTGGCTGTTTGCCGCGTTGCAGAAGTGCACACACAAGTTAGCAGTTCCATAGCCGTTCAGGCTAAAGCTTTGCATGGTCGATAATCCCTTCGACGAAGTGCGGTTGTGCAGGTCAGAAGTGCGTGTTTGCAATTCCCTCCATTTCGCTTCGAAACCTTGTTCGAATTGTTTCGGCCGACCAACCAAATTAATCTGTGAATGCATGGTGCACGTACAGTTAGAGTTAAGAATGCTCATGCTTGTACGATGGGCTTTAGGAGTTTGCAAGGGTATCTAGACGTATATAGGTTGTCACGTACACGACATGGGTCCACATAGGGGGGACTTGTTATCAATTGCAGCCCAAACTCCGCATGTCGGATGTTTTTTGGCAGACAGGACGGTCAAACCTGGGGACAGCTTCCGGAGCATGCCTGGGCGTTCGCCGCCGATCGCTTCGGCCAACAGGCAGCGTGTTTCGAGGTTTGGGCAGGGCAGCAGCCTTCTAAGAGGACTGCGAGGAAGTCAGGTGACCCCTACGATGGCACGGATGGCATGGAAATCATGGCAGATCGTTTGCTCCGAGTGCTGGCTTGCAGAGACGCCTGACGCCTCTAGCTGTTTGAAGGGTTGGTCGTGTTGAGGTCAGGGTGACAAGAAGCTTGCCGGAGCTTTCGAGAGAGCACGCTCCTTCGAATGTCAATCCACTTGCACTCGCAGTCGGCAGGGTCACAGCCCAGAGCAGAGCCCGGCAAGTCGAAGCCTGTGATTTTCATTTGTGCGATCAGGCCGTCCAGTTGGAGGACAGCGAGGGCCCAAGTGCCAGCTGCAGTACTGTGAGACTGTTATGAGACGATGCAATGGTAGCATGGACGCCAGAGGTCGTGTGCTGGTGACTGGTGGCACCGGTGGTGGCCGAGACGTCTTCAGATCCAGGTGCACGACGGTTCTAGTTCTCCCTAGTCGCGGTTCCTCAAGCTCTTGTAATCCTTTGGCAGTCCTTGGTCTAAAGTTGAAGCGCAATGAATCTTACAAGCGATCCGGTCTACAAGTCAAGACTTCAGGCTTGGGCTCACATGGTCGCACGGGTGGCGCTAAACTCTTCACCTCCCGACATTTGCAAGTTACTGCTTTCATGCATCCTGTCGCGCAGGTTGTTTGCCTTGGCGCTTGAGGGCATCGACGAGGGCCTCAAAGACACGGAGCCATTCAGTAATTAGTCGGAGTCGGGGCAGGTCTGAGGCAACGGCTATGGCCAACCGATGCTGACCGTCTTAGAATCTTACAATTCCCACCGCTGCTGCCATTGCTCCTCCTCCTACTAGTAGTCACTGCTGCAGCTGCACATACAGCTGTCGCTGCTGCTGTTGTTGCTGCTGCTACTCCTCCTACCTCTACTACGCCTAGTCTCCTACTACTCCTGCTATTGCGACGACCACGATTCCTCCTCCTCCTCTTCTTCTTCTTCTTCTTACTACTACTACTACTACTACTACTACCACTACTACTACTACTACTACTACTACTACTACTACTACGACTCCTACTGCTCCTGGTGCTGCTGCAGCTGCGCATACTGCTGTCGCTGCTGCTGCTGCTGCTGTCGCTGCTGCTGCTGTTGCTGCTGCCGCTGCTGCTGCTGCTGCTGCTGCTGCTGCTCCTACTCCTACGCCTGCAATCCTGTACTACTCCTACAGCAACAACTACTACAACTACAACAACGGCTGCTACAACAACAACAACAACAACAACTACTACTACTACTACTACTACTACTACAGCATCATCATCATCGTCGTCGTCGTCGTCATCATCACTATCACATACTATCACCATGACCATGGCCATCACCATCGTCATCAGCATGATCTTGTTCATCAGCATCATCATCATCATCACCATCATCAGCAGCATCACCACCATCATGACCACCATCACCACCATCACTGTCATCATCATCATGATCATGAAGCTGGAAACATATAGGTCATAGTCATAGTGGTATTTTCTCCCGATGCTGCTGTGTGGCACAAGTCATTCTGCTCGTAGTCTGGTTCGGAGGAGGAGTAGTAGGAATAACTACAGCAGAACGCAGCAGAACCAATAGGTCGCGTAATTCTACGATACATAACAATAGCAATGGCAATGGAAACTCATAAGATCACGAGCTCTCTGCTACAAAGAAGAATGCACTTACTTTACAATCAAGTTAGCATCGCAGATCATCGGCCACCAGACAACAAACAAGAGGAAACTTGTTTCAGCATGCTGAACTGGCTTGTTGCACTAACCCTCGGTGCGGCTGCTTTTGCCCAAACCCTTGCAACAAACCCACAGCTCCGGAACCTGGGCTGCTTCAGCAGTGACTCCCATAGTATACCCGAACGCGCGCGAGGAGGCGGTGGCGTACTTGGATAGGCACCCCTGCCAAGTGCTTCAGACTATCAGGCTTCTGCATGACACGGACCGCCCTCCTGTCGTACCGTGCTCTTGTGGCCTCGCATTGGAAGGACAGTTCGTGGCTTCAAGGGGAAATTCATTCAATACACTGTCCTGTTGAAGTGTGTTAGATGTAGGTGAAGCAGCATTGTGCCAGGCTTATCGAGCACGAACCCGGGCATTTGATCCTGGGAGTGAGCTCCTTGCCGGGCGCCCAAAGTGTGGACAGTTGCCGCAGATTTCTGCAGAAGGCTGCAGCAGCAATAGTTTTGCTTGTCAGTCTGTGACTGTGGACATTGTGAAATACTTAATGAACGGGAAGGGCATTGGCAAATGATGGGATTCAGTTTCCTGGCACCTGCCCTGGGGAGGTGGAAAACACATGGGTAACAGGAATGTGGCGCGCAATCCACAACAAGCTTCAAAACTGCGGCATAACAGCTGCGGGTGAAGATCCGGAATTACGCATCTTCTTGAAGGCATGTGTCGAATGACGATGTACGATCTTCTTTTGCGAAAACCAGTCAAAACAAATGAGATGTGCACGGACGGAGAGCTTTTGCATTCTTTTCGCTCAGTTTCTCCTGGTCAGTCTGCAGATTCATCTCGCAGTATTTTGGCATGTCACTGATGCTTGTTGCTTTGTATTCTGCATCGTCTTCTTGCAGATCTTCGCTCACGTATTGTGTGTGTGTGTGTGCCACTTCCATGATGGAGAAGTTTCAGGTTCAATCAATGTTAGAAAGAGGTACTTGGCAGGCAGCCAACACAGCACCAGTTGCCTAAATTTACCTGCCCACGCACCCGACGATTCGCGATGGCATGCTGCCACAATTGTACTGTTAACTTTAATTGATGTCTCGAACTTGATTTCAAAACATCCGTGGCTTTGCGGTCACTTTGTTGCTCCGTCTTTCGTAGGCTGGAGCTGGGCGATGCACCCGTGAGACCAGGCGCCTCCTCCGGCTTTTGGGAGTTTCAGGAATGCAGAGCAAACGAAACCAAGGCACTGGTTGAAAACGAGACGGACAGGGATTCACAACACGTCTCGCATTAAGACACTGAGCCACTGAGCATGTTTGACTCGCCGTGCCTCAATCCGGCAGCTGACAAGGCTCAGCCGCAGAAGTATAGATTTTCGAAGAGCCGTCCTCGTGTTGGATGTTCCCTACCAGCCATGGTTTGCCTTCCGAGAGCCTCTTGGAAGGAGATGCGGTGACCTTAGATAGGCTGCAGCCAGTGAGGCAGCTCAGCGTGAACAGCGCCCGAGTCTTGTACAAGGAGGTCGGAGCTGTTGAAAACGAGTGCTGGCTTGGGTCAGGAATTTTGGGTTTCGATTCAGTTTCGATATTTGGGAGTTTCCGACAATTAGGGTACCTTATTTTGGTGTCCTTATGATAAGAATCCTATTATTTAGGGTGCTATAGTAGGGTCCCCTATTTTCAGAAACTCCCATGTTTCGGTAGGATGAAAGTGAAGACCTCACACCTCTGGAGGTCGGCTTCATGATTGATGGCTTCCCAAAGCCTGTGGTTCTGGCGGATGCCCTTGTCCCAGATTGCCCCATCGTGGGGGCGTCGGACTCCTTCGCAAAGTTGTGCGGCTACTCCCGCGATGAGATCTTGGGGAAGAACTGCCGGTTCCTGCTGAAGGATGTGCCAGGGTGCTGCATCTCCAGATCTGGACGCAAAAACCTACGTTCGATGATCCGCATGTGCCGGCTCATTGGTCTGTCTGCCATGGGAAGCACCAGCTGCTGTCAGACCAACCGCAAGCGCGATGGTGAGACATTTCTTAATATGTTTGCCGTGGGCCTTGTCCTCCTTGACGAGCATCCTTTCTTGGTGGGGGTGCAGTCAGAGATGGGCACCGCAGATTCAACGGCCCACGTGAAGCAGGACCAGCATGCTCTCATCGAGCAGATCAGAGTGATCTTGCAGCAGGGGCTGTCAGAGAATGCTTCAGCTGTCCTTGCAAAGGAGCATTTCTTGCCACCTCGGCCACGGAATCTTGCTGGCTCCCCAGCCTTCTCCCCCACAGCCCTGACGGAGCGGGTGATCCTGCTGAACGACAGGCGCACGGTAATGAGGCGAGAGCCTTGCGAGATCCCAAATGGTTGTGTGGTGATCACTGAGCAGCCTCTTCGCCGAACGCGGCAAGGGCTCTTCTTTGCAGTTCGGATGGAAGGTGTGCTCCGTGAAGGCTGGCACACGACCTGGCCAATGCTAGGCATCACCGAAATCCCGCCAACTGATATGGTTCGGGATGGATACCCTCTGCGCCACTTGCCGGCAGTTGCCTTCGCCGACATGTTTGTCGAGGAATCGAGAGTTGAGACTTCCCTTTCACGCATGACATAGAACCTGCTGCACTGCAAGCGCCAGCGTAGTTCCCGAAATGCGACTCGAAATAAAGCAACTACAACAGCCACCTTGGCCGCGCCACTGCAATGACCGCCAGCTAAACACCTTTCGTTTGTAGTTCCTGTTTTGTTCGAACCTGACAAGACGCGTAAATCTCAGGTGCAGAGTGGTGTGCAAAGAGCGTTTGCATTGGTGGTGAATTCCAGGCCTTTGTAAGGGAGAAGGCTCAGCACTTCAACGGACATCGGGCTACGAGCCCCGATGAGGTTAAGGTCTATGAGGGACCGAGGCCACGCTGGCAGAACCGGCCTACCACGCCCTGGGACCTCGGTGAGGGAGACGTGATGGGCATGCTCTACACGCCTTCGGGGGATATCCACCTCATGATCAATTATCAGTCCGTGTTGAGTGTCTCTACCGGAAAGCCCCTGGCAGCTCGAGACTACTATGCCTTGGTGGATTGCCGAGGCCAGGCATACGAGCTTATGCTGCTGCCTTATGAAATGCCGGTTGTTGGCTACATGCAGGAGCTTGCTCTGCAGCCCCTCATCAGCCACAAAGTTGTGGACCATGTGGCGAGAACGGCTGCCAGCCGAGCTGTGTCATCATGTACGTTCTCAATCTCCATTGCTGATCCCTCCTTGCCGGACATGCCGCTCGTAGCGGTCTCCCGTGCCTTCGAGGAAATGACGGGCTACACCTGCGAAGAGATTGTTGGGCTAAACTGTCGCTTCCTGAATCACGACTGTGAGATGGCAACCCGACAGCGCCACGATCTCAGAAAGTCCTGTCAGACAGGAAAGGCCTTCACAGGTCTTCTGCAGAACCGGCGCAAGTCGGGTGAGCTCTTCGTGAACCTTTTGGACCTCCGGGGCCTCAGCGTCGCGAAGGATGCGGAGACCGGCGAGGACATTTGGTACCTCGTGGGCATCCAGTCCGATGTGACGAACCTCGTAGAGCGAGAGGGCCAAACACCCAACGAAATCAGAGAGCGCCATGCATCCGAGCTTCAAGATGTTGCAAACAACCTGCGCCGTGAGCTGCAGCGCGAGTTTGCTGAGCTAGCGCTGACCTCTCGGACTTCAGGCAGGGAAGAGTCTGAAGCGCACGTAGAGTTTGCAAAGCCGGCTCAGCCCGAGAACACGATTACCGTCCCTGCAGCTCCGGGTATTGAGCGTGGACCGAAGCCAAACCTGGTTCCTATGATTGCCTTGCTATCAGAGCCAGCCTGGATCAAACAGGATGCGGAGGACGATGACAGTGAGCCCGAACAAGTGGACCGGCATGCAAAGAAAACCAGCCATCGCCTGAAGACGTGCTCCAGCCTCAGCAGCTTTCAAGAAAGAGTAATGTCTGTTCCCACAGTTTTCCGCCGGCAATGGTCTTTTACTCCAATTGCTGGCGCTTTTGTGCTCGGCATCGGCAGTGCCCTGATCTGCCAGCTCCTGCTGCGTCAGCGGAAGTGAGGTCTTGTGGCTTGCAGGTCCATTGTGTACAGAACGCTGACTGTAGACTACTGCACGAATGAAATCTTCCTTTCTGCGTCTCTGCAGTGAGCAGGCGGATGGTCATTTTCGTAGAGGTGACCGGGAAGCCGTTTTTCATTCTGTCGAGCGCCTTTGCACGACCGTTGCCCAGTGCACACCCGCTCTTCAGAAATTGAGCCCTCATGAGTCATTTTCGGCAGACTGTTTGCGTGTGCATGTACGTGCAGGCGCTGATGATGAAGCTCAAGATGAGCCACCGGAGGATTCAGTCGACGCCTGCTTCAGGAGGCTTCTCCCCCGACTCGTGAGAGTGGCACACGGCTTCGGGGCATCTCACATTGTGAACAAGGGGCATGCTTAGTAGAGGGCCTCAGGCGAAGCTCTTTTTCAGTGGTTCACGGTCGTCTCGAAGTTACAGAAGGCGCTGCAAAACACGCAAACAAAATTGCTGCTTGCAGGTGGGGATTTGCGGAGCCTCGATCTCAGAATCGGGCCTCGAGCCCTGCGAGCTGTGCCCAACTCTAAACGCCCCCACCCGAGGCTGCGGGTGAAGCCTCTGGAGATCAGCCACCTTCAGACCTTGTGCCGCCAGTGGACAGGGAACATGCCGGAGCTCCGTGAGCAGGCCTCGAAAGTCTGAGGACCGAAGGGACACGGGCCTTCTGCTTCTTTTTCGTTTTAGGTTCTCTGAGTTTAATACTTGCCTTACAGAAAAGCAGAGTTCGCTCAACCCTGCCCCAGAACTAGCATTATGTGGTCCTTCGGACACATGACTACAGTCTCTAGCGATGCGGCCTCGTGAATCTTTTAAGGGCTTTCCAGGCAACTAGACGACAGTCGTGTGAGACAAGTGCGGCTTTGCGCGAAGTCCTTGATGTCAGTCAAGAGAAGTCCTCCCCTGCTCGAGGTGGAGGCTGAGATGATCCAGCCGGACAATTTCGACCTCGTGAACAGCCCGCAGGGCCCTCGTGGATGTGAACCATCGTGAATCTGCGCCAAACCCGGCATATGCAAGCCCTCAGCTATGTAATGTACCCATCTCCCCCTCTGCCTGTATACAAGGCCCTTCTAGAGCCCAAGAAAACGTCAAGACCCAAGACCCAATCTGCGAGTGCGAGTCCGCAAGCCTCGAAGGCTCACGGCCATCACCGTGCTGAGGGACCTGGTCCCGAGATCCCCGTCCGACAGGACTCCGGGCCGCCGTTTTTTCCGCTGTTTCTTAAGAGGGATAGCTTTTGAATTAATAGCGTATTGGTTTTGGGACGGAAGGCAACGACACTCCAGGAAGCGATCGGGAACGGGGAATCTGACCGCTCGGCGCGTACTCTTGAAACTGCAGAAGTGTACGCTGTGACTTGTGTCTGTCATGGTCTCCAGCTTGGGTTTTCTTCCCGTTCCTGCTTACGCCAGTTTCCTGAACCACTGGGCACCAGGCACGGTAGGCGTTTGCCTATTGGTTTCGTGTCGGAACAGGAAGCAGAAGTTGACACGCTGCCAGCTCGATCCTCAGCACGACGGGTTTCACCTTTTCGAAGCCGGCAGCACTTCCAAAAACCCGGAAACTCGAAGGGCAGGAATGCAAGGCGGAGCGTTGAAGAGCACCAGAGGACTCGGTGTCCTTCACTGTCCTGCGAGGCTCTACGAGCAGATGTTTAAGCGCGTCTTTCAGAGCCGGCCCCCTACAAGCGGGAGCGGGAGCATCTGTCGATCATGAAGTGTTCGCTGTGTTCGCCTTCGACGCAAGTCGCACTCAGGCTACCAAGCCCTGAAATCCCACGACAGCAAAGCTTTCGCCGAGCCCGGGGCTTTGCATGGACTGCTTGCGCGTTCCAGCGCGGCGTCAATCAAGATAAGGCTGAGTACCGGTTGAACCGAATGGTCGTTTCGAGAGCAAAACTGATCCCATGGCAACCCAGGCTGCACAAGCAGGGTGTGACGGTTGCAGTGGCCGAGCTCGCCTACGAAGGCCTAGGTGCGGGCAGACAGTCGACACGGACACCGGGTCTGTGACAGCGCCCGATCTGTTGCTGGAAATTGCTGGAAATCCTGGGGGGAGTTGAATCTCGCGATTTTCAGAGCATAGCAAGCGACCTTGACTTCCCCGTACATACGGGATGCTCGACCGCCTTTGGCCAGTCGCTTGCCCAGCCAGGCCGCAACAGCCGGGCGATCAAGGCGCACGAGCCACTGCCTCAGGCATTGCCACATGTTCTCATTAATCTCACACTCATCCACTCTTTGACAGTCGTGCACACACACACACACACACACACACGCACGCACGCACTCTCAACATAGGCTACCGAAGCACTTTGGAGTTTGTTGTTGATGAGTTCAGCTCCTTCAGCTCATTGTCGCTGTCGTTGGAAGACTGCGATGGCCGCCTGCGATGCGATGATGCGATGCTCAATGAAGAGACATATAATATATATATATATATAATATAAGATATATATATATATATATATCATTAGATGAGGCTGGCCTCCTTCGTTGCCTCGCTGAACGTCAAGGAGTTGGTGGAGCCCATGGAGAAGCTAATGAAGCCCCTCGACGAATGCAAGCTGACCTCAAAGGATTTCAGAGTTCAATTCATCTTCAAGGGGTCGGATACTCCGTCATGCCTGACGCGAGTGGCCTGCACTCTGCGATCTTGTAATTGAGGCCCTGGGCCCAAGCCTGTTGATTTGCAAGTGCGCATGACAGATGCATCGTTTGTCACGCAGAAATGGCTGGCTTCCTTCCTGGTCGTAAGGCTAGCGCAATCTGGACAATTGCTTCTCCTGGAGGTGGGTGGAGCTGTGCCGCCAAAGCACATAACGGTTGAGCATGTCGCAACTCAAGCCCCGGAAAAGTGTGCCTCGCAGAAGGAGAAGGACGGTGGCCTTCGATTCCGCTACCCCTCCATGCCACGCTCTCAACATCTCTCAGCAGCTTTTCCTGCATCGCTCGAGAACTATTTTACGGTCTGAGCTTTCAGGCAGGATTTTCTGGCGGCGCAGTGTGCCTGGCAGCGCCTTTTGGAGGGCAAGGGCTTGCCTACATGGCTGGTGCAGGAGCGGGTGCCAAAAGTTGTGCCATGGCGGTGTGTGTAGCTTTGAACTCCATGTCCGGATTGTCCGCACCACTTCCGTGCATGTCGAGCCTCTTGGATGGATGTTTGTTCGTCTGGTGTAGCCACTAGCCAGCTATTTCTGGATGCGGTGCTGTCAGTGAGACTTACACCAACTACCAACATCTACCAACTGCAAGCCATTATTGCCACGGGGCTCCACTCCAGGACTCTCAGCCTAACAGCCTAAGAGTGACATAATATGCAACACTCACGCCTTCCACTACGGGCAACCATGGAAGGCGATTCCTGACACTGTCCGTAGTTCAGATCCAAAGCTTGATCAAGATGGCTCCTTTGCGCTTGCTCGTGACCGCACCCCCCGGGACGGGGAAGACGACTCTTTGCTCAAGCGTGACCTGGCTTGCACAAAATCCCGTTCCTTTCTTTTCTGGGGAGCTGCGGCTGTAGCAGTGCATGAAACAGGTCTACAAACGCCTCGCAGCGCAAAAGGACCTGTGCCGCTGAGCAAATCATGGTTGGGATATCTCCTTGCTTCAGCACAGAGTCGAAGCTGTATCTAGGTCTTTTGGATGGCTTCCTTATGAACGAGCGAAGAGAGCGCGGGCGGCGAGTTGGTTTCGACTGCGTCTCCCTGGACCTGAGAAGTCGTGCACCACTGGCTGATGCTGACGGGCCCAAGACGGGCTACATGGTCGGCAACCTGCTGTGCAGAAGCATGATCAGTTACTGATGGTAACTGTAGCAGGTGTCCACACGGAGCCTCTGCATCCATTTCTGCTGACCTGGTGGCCCAGGCAAGTACCACGTGCAAGTCGAGGACAGCATGTGTCGGTGTGCTCGTTGCTCAGCCAGAGTTCAACCAAACCACGACTCGAAACTTCCTCGCTTCGACTAGGAGTTCGAGAGGTTTACGCTCCCCGTCCTGGACCGTGTGCTTGCGAAGCAGGCTGGCAACAGGCACACGGTCTTCATCTTCGACGAAATCGGGAAGATGGAGCTCCTCAGCAAGGACTTCGTGGCGCGCGTGAAGCAACTTCTGGAAAACCCGGACCCGAAGCTCCATGTGCTGGGGACCGTGGCCATAGCTGGGGGTGGCTTCATCTCCCAGAGCAAGCGGCTTTCGGGAGTAGAGGTGGTGGACATCGATGTGCATAACCGGGATGAGAAGGTGCCCTGCCCTCACTCGCTTCCTCTTTCCGTCCCCCTACAGTAAGTCCTCTCGCAGAGCAAAGCTCCTGGCAGGTTGGGGAGCTCGCAGCCCGCTTCGAGGAGGCCTGCGGCGGAGAGGCGGGCGCGGCCGGCGACGCTGGGCCGGCGCCGTCAGCTCCGCCTGGTCGGTCGGGTCCGTCCTCGCCCTCCTCGCGCGACGGACCCACCAAAGGCCGCTGGCGGCCCAAGGCGAAGGTCGCTGAGCCGGCTTCTGCACAGAGCGCGGTCACACCCTCCACAGCCTCCTTCCTGCCACCAGATCGTGGAGGCTCCAATGCCCACAGCGGCGCTGTCGCTGTGGCCATGGGAAAGGCAGCATATGGGCAACTGGGCCGAGGGGAGCCGCTTTTATCCAGCGGCGATGTGCTTGGAGTTCTTGGGCTCGGCTCGGAGGGCTCGGCGGTTTCTTCGGTTTCTTCTGCCTCCTGTGGTTTCGACCATACCGGGATCGTTACCTCCGAGGGTCAACTTCTGCTCTGTGGAAAGAACAACAAAGGGCAGTGCGCCCGCAAGTCCAAGGGAACACGGGGCGACAAGGATTCCCCAGACTTTTCGGAAGATTTGGCTCTTCCTCAAGTTCCTGAAGGCCTGCCATCAGCAAGCAAGGTGAAACAGGTTGCTTGTGGTGGCGAGCATACGCTTGTGCTCATGGAGAGCGGTGAGGTATTGTCTTGCGGCAGCAACGTCGCAGGGCAGCTCGGTCTGGGGCAGAGCGGGCCGAAGATGTCCACCACCCTGAGTCGAGTTAAGTTGCCACCTGCAGATGCTGTGAGCGCGGGCTTCTGCCACAGCGCGGCCATCTGCAGCGATCGGCTGTACATGTGGGGCGATTGTAACCAAGGCCAGTTAGGGCTGGGAAGGCGGCAAAGGCAGATCGCCGAACCACACTTGGTGGACGTGGGGGGTCCTGTGCGGGCAGTGGCATTGGGGCGATGGCATTCTCTGGTGCTGAGTCTGGGAACAGTTTGGGCCTTCGGTTGGGGCCGCTTTGGTGTTCTGGCCCAAGGCCAGAACATGGAGAACCAGCTGCTCCCCATGAAGATCGAAGGCTTGCCGGCGCCTGTTCACATCCTGGCATCTGGCGCCGTCCACTGCGGAGCCGTCTGCGGACCCGCGCGGGAGTGTTACATGTGGGGCCGTGGAAGCCTCGGCCGCCTGGGCCTGGAGTTGGGCTCAGAGGCGAACGTTGCCAGGCCAAGGCCAGTGCCAGGTCTGCGAGACGTCACCGCGCTGGCGCTGGGAGGCGACTTCTCAGCTGCCGTCACTGCAGCTGGCGACTGGTGGGTTTGGGGGAAGAATGAAGAGGGCCAGCTTGGACAAGGAGACATGCACCGCGAGAATGCATGGAAGCCCATTAGGGCTCCAGCCCTGGCGGGCTTCCGACAAGCTGCTCTCGGCGACTGTCATGCGTTGGCCTTCCGGTAGTTATTAGCGGCGATGTAGTGCGAGTTTCATTTGCAGTAATGGAGAGAGACGATGTTGTAAGCACGAGTCCTGCCTGAAGGCCCGCAGAGGACAAGTCAAAGCTTCGTGGCAGTTAAGGGCAATACTTTAAGCGCGCACTTGTGCCTGTTGACGCCAGCATTTTCCAGCAACCACTGCTGCTTGCTTTTCGGAAAAAGGCTGTCCAGGCAGCGCTGGGGTTCTCGTATGCTGGGCCCAGGAGAACGCTGCTGGGAACGTTTCCGAAGCTGTGACGAGCTGCGCCAAGTTCTTTTGCCTCCAGGCGCCAGTAGTACGTCTTGCTCGTCGAAGTGGTGTAGGATATGGCTTCGATAATCTAGATTTTCAACTGTTAACATGTTGAATATGAGTATTAATTAACTCGAAACCAATTGAATGCAGGGGACCACACATCAGAGCGCCAGTGTTGAGTCGCACTGTTCCGTGCAGCTTCTGAGATCTTTGTAAGCGTTAACTGCATTAGCTGCATTGCCAAGCTGACGGTTGCGACACAGGCAGAGGGCAAAGAGCCGTTGAAGAAAGAGCTTCTGCTCGAGCTCCGGGAAGGGCCTGTGCCTCGCAAGGGTCAGCATGCTTCCCAACGAAACGGCATCAAACTGCGAGGCTGACCTTCCTCCTGCAGACCATGTGCAAGGCTCGCGATGTACAGTAGATGCAACTTCTGTTCGCACAGGACGCCTTGACCTCCCTTGTCCGTCAACGCCAGGCCGGAAATGCCCTTGCCATCCGATGCCTGCTCGGAGTGGCCGTGGCCTGAGTCTTTTGATGTATTTGCTTCAGTCTGCAACAGTTGCTCGGAGCATGTCGGAGCGTCTTGGGACGCTACTCATGGGCTGGTTCGGAATCGCTCCAGGGACAGGAAGTAGCGAAGGGACGTGCCGAAGAGCTTGGATTTCCGCTTCGTGCAAACATTACAAACTTCCACTGCGTGAGACAGCAGCTCCTGGAGAATTCTCCCGCGCTTCTTTGAACACACCATGTCGTCCTTCTCCGACCAACTGATGGTCGCGTTGGCCGGACGTTGTTACGGCTGACCGTTGAAAGAACAGCAACCGCTTGTCATCAGCTTTGCCCAGTCTCCTTAGGGTCGTACTCCGGTCAGGGAAGGGTGTCGCGAGTCGGGTTTGTTTTCCTGCTTGTATCGTGCGCGCTGGCGTAACCGCCAGTTCTGCACTCCCATACCGTGCACATCATGCTTGCCGGGTGGCACCGCTTGCTGAGGCTGCCGCGGGTGCCCGGCAACAACTGATGGTTCCTTGGCTGTTTAAACTTTATCGGAAAGCGGTGGGTACGGGCACAAGTTGGGATGCAGGATGTGCTTGCGAAGCTGCTCAAGTGACATGTTTTGAAGTTGCCATTTGTGGACTCTCTGCGATACCAACATGTTTTGTTGTTGTGGTGCATTTTTCGCCCGCCACATCTAGGCGATGCACTCGCCCTCCGGCGCGATCCCAAAACTTCCAGGGCAGATGGCATGCGCTGAGTTCGGAGTTTGCTTTTTGGCCCTGGGAAAAACAGTGGTGGGTCAGATGGTCGACTCTTCCGGTCCTGCTGAGGTGTGAACCAAACTGGCCTCCACTTTGCAGCTGTGCATGGGCACAAGGAGCGGTTCACTCACCAGTCTGATGCGACACGACAGCTGTGGACGTATACCACACACACTATTCTCGAACTTACTGTGGGATCTAGGAGTCATGGGGCTTCCCCGAAGCGTGCACGTATCGCCTGTATCAGCCCGAAGAGTGAAGGCTCTCCAGATGTAACAAACTCAGAGTTGTAAGCCGCGCCAAGGGACGTTCGGTCCTGCTTGGGAAACTCCATTCATTATTTGTCACCCACGACTTACCGGGTTGAGCCCCGGATGCATGGAGTGTTGCCGCGAAAGCTGATGGCCCGGAAGCTAGAAATCTCCGGTTCTATGCTTTTGAAAACAAACCTGGTGTTCCAGGGAATCATGCCATGCCTCAAACACAGCCGATGCACGTTGGTTGCCTCAGGAAGTGGTTGACATGCTCCTGGAGTTAGCACCGGAGCCAATGCAGCTTTGTGAGGGCCACAGCTGTAGAATGGGTCACTGTAGTCTGCCCCATGGCGGCTGGTGTTCGGTCTTGAATATGTGTAAAGGTAGTGTGTGCTGACCTATACTTCGCGTTTGAAGTAAAGCAACCGTCTTGCCATGTCAGAGTGGTTTTCCGGAGCATGCCCGTAGCGTCAGTTAGGGAAGGCCGCACCAACCTAAGAACCCAGAGAGTCCCACGGTCCTCCCAGGCCAGGCAGTCAACGCCGATGGCATGGCACCACTGCATTGTGCAGCGAGGGACGGCCACGAGGACAGCTCTGGAGCTCCGCGTTGGCTGAGCTCTTGAGGTTCCGTGAGTTCCGTGTCTCAAACTTGTGCTGCAGACCACCGCGCGAGCTCTATTGAAACGATCTTCGAACGGCTTGGCCTTGCCTGCCCCTGAACGCGTCCAGCATTCCTTGTCTTGGATTCTGGTCTGACGCACTGCAGGCTGCAGATGCCGCAGAAGAACAGCTCTACACTCCGGCCGCCACCTCGGAAACGCAGCGGTGTTTCCGAGCGCAGTCTAGGAGCAAGGGATTGGGTGAGAGGCCACTGCACCTCGCCGCAAAACACGGCCACGTGGTTCGTTCCTCGGTCCGAGGGGCTGAAAAGCTTCTGTGGGCCGAAGCCGCCTGCCGACAGGCTGTCGTGAAGTGCTTCCTCGAGTATGCACCAAATCCGACAGCAAGAATCTTACTTGGGCTTTGTGATCTCATGAAGATACAGCAAATGATGGCTTGACGGTGAGGCTCTCTGCGTTGAGTCCAACAGTGCGGGCAACACGGCCTTGCATTTCGCAGCAGCAGGAGGTCCGGTGCTTGGGGCGACAACCAACCACGTGTCCCAGCATGTGGGCTTCACAAGATGATCGCTTGCTCAACCTGTTGCTCTTGCCTAAAATACATCTGATCACACCTGAGGACACACGGTGTGCGTGCAAGCCATCTTGACCCATGCCGGGCGGGGCGCACGGGCAGTTGTCTTGTCACTATGAGCACTGTCGCCATCGGATGACTCTCGGTTCTTTTGGTCCTGTTGTGTCGTGGCAAGGCCCCCGGTTGCCCTGCCAGATCGAGCCCTCCTGCTGCTGACGGCTGTAAATAGATTTGACCGGCAGACTGCCCGACACTTGGAAGGCTGCTTCAAGCTTTCAGTTGACCACCTGCGATGCTGCGAAGGCCCTTCATGTCGCGGCTGATAAAGGGGAGAATGCAGTCGTGGGGAGCTCAGATGGGCTGAAGGCAGTGTCGAATGAAATTGTTGGAGCCAGTCAGCACAACAGACCCCGCAATCAAACTAAACGGACCACAGAAGCGTGAGCTGCAAAGCCCCTTCCGCAGAATCAAGAACACAGTCGTATAGCGAGAAGGGGGAACGCATGTCCGCCGATGTTGCCGTTGAGAAAGGCGTCATGTCATTTCGGAGTAATCGCGGGGCGAGCTAGTTTAGGGGCCTTAATAATTAGAATAGGGTTTTGGGGTGTTTTATTCTAGAATTCTAGTAAGGAGCCCCCCCCCCCAAAAAAAAAGGCCCCTACATTACTTCGAGGGCCTTCGCGTTCGACTTCAGAACTTCAGTCGGCTGCTCGGCGGAGGTCGAGCTGCTCCTGCAGCTGGCGCCGGACAAGGCCGCGCTGCTGGCTATGTGATGGCCTCATGAAGGAGCACCGGAGGAAGCCGGTAGCGGGGCGGGGCGGGGGAGGGGGTTATAAGTTTGGGTTCATAACTGTCATAATAACTGTTCAATGCATCTGGTCGATCATCGTTCGATCCGCAATCATGCGAAGTGAACTTGATTGAACAGCGTCGTTGTCTGGCTTAGCCAGCTGCTGGTGCAGGACTGGCATACCTCCGAGTTTCAAGCGATCAGTGTTTGCCCAGGTCTGATAAGCTGGGTCAAACAGCCCTACACCTGGCCTCGGAGAAGGGACATGCCGCCGTGGAGCTTGCCTGAGAGACCGGCCTAGCAGGGTGTTTCTCTCCGTTGTTCAGGTTTGCGTGTCGCCTGCTTGTGGGATTCCCCCGCATATCCATGCTACTATGTGCTACTGTGTCTCTTTGACACTTTGTGAAGTTTCGTGCGAGGTGCAAAGGCTTCTGAGTCTTGTGGGCGACACAAGCGGCCTCCTAGCGGCCAGGGAGCGCATCACAGGACCATCTCAAAGGGTCGATGCACGATCATGGTAAGAACAGTACTTGCCATAGATCGCATGGTTACAATTACAACTACAGCTCAGAATGCGTTTTCGTAGCATTGTAAACGGTAAGCGGCTGGTAACTTGGAGGCAAGTCTTGTCAAGTCCCGTCCGCATCCGTCCGTGTTCATGGCCAACACATTCCATGAGGTATCTGATACTGACGATAATCTCGGTCTCGGCAGGGCAAACGGCATTGCACATGGCCGCGGAGTGTGGCCACAGTCAAGCCGCACGGCGCCTACTCCGGTTTCAAGGGATGCACGGAGAATGATGTCTCTCTGATTATTTGTGCGTACTGCGCCGCTGGGGAAGGAGGGGATACCACTACCCCCAGCTTCATTAAGTGAAGCTACCACAGGTTCACGCGCTGCTGAAAGCCTGCCCGTATGCAGAGACTTCCTTGGCAACGGATCGTTGCGGCGGATGGCCCAGCTTCTTTCAGCTGGTGATGTCGTGCACGAAGGTTAATTGCTTTTTTGCAAATATTCGTTCCTCTAGTCCCTCTCAGCTGCAATCAATTCGGTTTGCAGTGTGTCATCACGATACCTGTTTCACTGAAAGTGATTCACGGCGAAGTACATGAACGTATCGGATGAGACTTGCACCAACCTTCATGTCTTCTCTTGTTGGTTTCCTGATGCCAAGTATTCCAGGCATCCAGTCGATCCCGTGGTGCTCGTATCTGGCTTACATTAGCCTCGTAGTCTTCGATGCTTCAGAAACTGGAACGTTATATCAAGTCAGTCATTCAGCATGCCCCCTTCCTCCCAAGAGCTTGAGCAACAGGAATCCAGTTCCCCACCTGGAATCAGAGGCAAACCAGTCACACTTCACCACGTCCTTGTGAACATGTAGCTGTAAGTCAGACTCGAAGAGTTACTGCGTTGAAAAGTGAGGCCGATATACAGCTCTGCATCTTGCAGCGGAGCGCGCGACTCATTCGTTTGATGTCTTGCGGAGCCGTAAAGATAAGTGCTCGTAACGCTGCTCATAGTTTGGTTCTCAGTCGGGTGCAGACCGGTAACAGTAGTGAACAGAAAGGTGTCCACCAGGAGTGTCTTTGCATTCCCATCTGCAGTATGTGTTTCCTACTATCCACAGCATGTTAGGTGAAGGGGGAGCCAAGCAAAGGAGGGCTTTGTCTCTCGAGGCGAGGCCACCTGGAAACCGTGCGGGCTCTGCCGGGAGCCCAGCAGCGGGAATGTAATACAATTATGAGATACAGTAAGGTAAAGATAGTATACCTAATAATATGATATCGAATTTTTGGTTCATCTGGATAGGAACGGCTCTTGAATTGCCAGACCCTGGCTCTTGTGTCTTCGCCATCTCAGAGCCTGCTTTTCTCGAAGCTTTGGGTGCTTTTCCTGCTCCTCGGCATTCGCCTCTCCCCTTGCACACCGACTTTAAGCCTTGAAGCCCCTCCTGCAAGGGCCCTCAGTTCAGCTGCATCTGCATCTTATGACGGCGTCACAGGGAAAGTCGAGCCGAGGCTTTGCATCGGTTTCTTTTATGGCAGAGTTGACTCCATGGACATGCGGCGTGCGGGATCAGCTGAGGCTCCAGCATGCTCCAGAGCTGGAGCGTCTCCTCATGGCACAAGAGCGCTTTGCGGGACAGACTGCCGGGTCCTCGGCTCCGGCAACCACCAACCAGAGCTTCTGACACGTTCCTTGCGGAAGCTCAAGCCTGCTAAGTGAGTGAATAGACGCTGTGGCTGTGGATTGAACTGTGCAGTGAGGCCTTGCACCTGGCAGCTGCTGCGGGTCACGCTGCGCTCTGCAAAGTTCTTCTCGAGCCGGGTCCTTAAAACACAAAAACTTCTAATCTGTGCGTCCCGGCAGAGGCACTCACTAAAGAACTCAATATTCAATAAACTTCACAACACGCCCAGGACTCAAGAAGGCTTACAGAGATTTGCAGAGCCTCGACTCCTGCGCTTTTTCTGGATCTCTGAGGATGGCTCCCAGCCCCGGGATGCTGCTGGCAGCCAAGGATTTCGCTTGATGGGTCTGAAGTGTAAGGGTTTTTCTTGGCTATTGAGGGTTATTGAGCGTGGTCTAGTGTTTTGGCAAGGTTTAGGAACGTCTTATTGATGCGACCGGCCTGAAACATGTTGGGCAAAGCTCGAAGGACAAGTCTGGCGGATTTACGCCGCACCGGCCTCATCTCAGCAGCGTGGCAGTGAGTGAAGCCATACCCTTTGCTGCCACAGGTTTTTCTGCATCTCTCTCTTGTGCCCAGGCTGCAGCTTGCCTGTGAGAAGGGGCAAGCCGAGGTTGTGGAAGCTTTGCTCGGGGCCCATGCCGGGAAGATGTGGGAGTTTCCGAAAATTAGGGTATCCTATTTGGGGTCCTTATAATAAGGATCCTACTATTTAGGGTACTATATTAGGGTCCCCTATTTTCTGAAACCCCCATGTCAGTTGGACACCACCCGGGCCCTGCTTTCCATCCGTGGCCGCGTGAGGTTGGAGGCCGACCCGGACCGGGCCATGCGCCTGAAGGATTGCCTGGAGAAATGGAGCGGCTTCTCGGCCTTGGGCTCAGAAACTCTTAGTTGCATTTCGGAACATATATATATATATACAAATATATACATATATATATATACACATTATATATATATATATACACACACACACACACATATATATATATATATATATATAAGCTACCCCCCCCCTCAGTTATCTACCTTTTTCGGTGGCTTTCCAGGAATACCCTGTTGAATAACTTAATATGCCTTACATATGCCGTCTAGAATACCTATAGAGTAGCCTATAGATAGGGATTCTTTAAATATGGAAAACCAGTCGGAG